TGGTGCTCACCGTGGAGCTGGACATACTCCCCGATGCAATCCGCAGCCTCAGGAGAGAGCCCCTTCTCTGCCACCATCTCACTCCTCACTTCTTCCCAGGGCACCTGTGAGGGGAGAGAAGAGCATCTGCCACTGGACCAGGGACACAGGCCCTCCTCTGCATGGCAGAATCCCATCATCATGGTTAGAAAGTGCATGAGAGAAGCAGCAGCTCTCAGAGCACAGTCAGGTATGCATAACTCCATTTCTTGTACCACTGCACAGCCTGTTTGTATCTCAACCCTATAAAAATACCTGTAGTTAGATTTCTGGCCAGAATCAAGTATCAGCACTGTATAACCATCAAGTCTGAGACCCATCTTGCTGCTGTGGTTTCCCTGGTTAGGTACTTAGTCATAAATACTACTCAGGAAAGTGTTGCTGGTCATGGAATCACCTGGAAAGGTGTGAGCTATTGGTTGGGTAACGGGAAAAACCCAATGTAAGCATAATATGCTGCCATTTTCCCACTGACCATGAGTCAGACAACCAGAGTCTTGATCACATCCAGCTGCACTGAGATAAATCACAAGGAAACGATCCCATCAGAAAAAAGCCAAATGCATCCTGCCCATTGCTTTTCAACACATACACAGCCCCAAACCCCAAACTCTGATCATGCCTCTGCAATGGATCTCTGCTAACAGGGCTGTGAGTGAGACCTCCTCCAGTTGCCTTCATTTGACTGTCTTGATGAGCCCCCCACAGGAAAAGGCAGCTCACCCTTCAACAAAGAACCATGACCACATGTGAAGAGACACAAGCTGCTGTTCTTAACACACCCTAGCCTAATTTGGTGCAGGTTTTCATGAGCCTGGTTCATAAGCAGCAACACCTTGAGCAGGTGAAGATTTGAGATATTGAACCTCCTCTGTGAAGAACCATTTTCCCCTCCCACCTTTCCTTTTATCAGGACCTCATGGGATAGTGGGTAACAAAACAGAGGATCCACTCTTCCTATGTGAATGCTGTGCACTGCATGTATCCCTTCCAGGGAAAGGTAGGAACAACATGATGCTTATCAGCATTTTCCAGCCAATTCTCATGGACCATGGTTCATTCACTGAGACTCCAGCAGCAGCAGGTACAGCCTGGGGCCCCAGCCCATACCTTATCCAGTTTGTCAACGCTGGAGCAGATGGTTCGGAATTTGCTGTCTGGGACCCCACAAACTGCAAACATCCCATCAAGGATGCGCCGGTCGTTAACCTGGGGAAAGGGAGCAGCACATCAGGAATTACAAACTCAAGCAGATGCTTCAGTCATGTCCTGCTTCATTCCCCTGTTTTAAGCATAGAAAAGAATACAGGAGACATCTGTCAAGGGGCTTTTTTTTGCGATATTTAAAATCTCTGTTCCACACTCGGAGAGAGCAGAGCCCCAGAGAACACAAAAAAAAACAAAACACACACACAAAAACCAGAAAAAGACACAGCACATCCCCCTACACACCCGGACACACCCACACAAAACAAAAAAAAAAAAAAAAAAAAAAAATCAGGGCCTATGAGTCCCCTCATGTGGACATGTAAAAACAGCTCAGGAACAGACCAGAGCCAAGGAGATTAATTCAGAGTATTACCTTACACTACCAGCAGAAGAGAAAAGGGACATCTGATTATGTTAAATCCTCAATCAGGACTTTTTAAATTACAGTATAGTGAATTCTATAGCTTAATTATGCTCTATAAGAGTACACAATTAAGGCCAAAGACTCAGCTGGATTCAATAGTTCCATGGGTAGTGAGAATGTCTACAATTAGTCAGAAACAAATACTAACTGCACAGGAATTTGGAATCCGCCAGTATCAACATGAACCAAAAAGTTCCTTGTGGGAGACAAGAATAATCACAGGCAGGTTATTCTGTTGCTCCCCATTGCAGGAGCATCTTCATCCTCAAAGGCAGCACTTTCACCACTGCCCAAACACCCAGTTCCTTCATCTCACCCCAGAGAGGTTCAAGGGGAAGTACCTGGCCCCTGCTCCATGGGGCTGAAACAGGAACACAACATCCAGCCTGCAGTGCCCAGGAATGGCCTAGCTCCACGTCCATCATAGATCCCACTGCCCTCCTGCACATCCAGCACTCCTACCCACTGCTCTATTGCACCTGTGCACCCTTCCCATCCTGCCTCACCTACACATCGAGCACCATTTGCTGCCATCCCAAGGGAACAGAGGTGTCTGGAAGCAAATAGCAAGCTCAGCCTACAGTAGGGCACAACTCTTGGTCTAGAAAATGCTTCAGTTCCAAAAAGGTGGAAAGGCAGGAGTCTGCAGGCAACACCACACACTGAGCAGATGCCCCTGCTGGGATAAGGGCAGGAATACTGGACGAGAGCCTGTTTTACTGCAGGCAGTGAATATGACAATCACCTCCCTAGATAGATATTGGGAAGAAATTTTTTTTATTATAGAAGTGGTGAGGCACTGGCACAGGTTGTCCAGAGAAGCTATGACTGCCCCACTCCTGCAAGGGTTCAGGACCAGGCTGGACAGGGCTTGGAGCAACCTGGGATACTGGAAGGTGAACCTGCCCATGGCAGGGTAATGGAAATGGATTATATTTAAGGTTCCTTCCAACCCAGACCACTCTATCATTCTAGCTGGCTGCTGGAATGTTGCAAGGGACAGTGGCTAGTTCTGGGGAGAACACTGTCAGCTGCAGCCTCAGGAAAACTCCTGTCATTCTCAGCTCAAAGCAAACCCAAGTGGAGGCCCAATCTTTAACAAGGGGAAGCACGTTTGCTTCCAGGCAGAGAGGAGGGACAAACTCTGGGCCAGGCCTTAGAGTGGGAGCAGGTGCTACTGTGTAAAACCACAGAGCAATGACCCTGCACAGTGGCACAGAGAAGCCACCCAGTCTCACCTTGATGACAAAGTCCCCGAGCTGCAGGTCACTCAGGATCTCGTGCACGATCTTCAGGCACTCGGCATCAGGAATCATCGGGTCAAACTGCCCGGCAATGTCAAAGTCCTGGGGGCAGAGGCAAAGGCAGTGAGTGATTCAGCACCACAGCACAGCTGCAGAAAACCAGCTTCAACTGCTGGAAACAGTAGTTTGTATACAAAACCAAACAGAACTGGGATGTGAGGCACCACTAACCCTTACAGATTAAACCCAAAAGGGACAGGAGGTGGGTTAGGACCTCCACCATGGAAGGCAGCAGTGCTCTCATGTCCACTGCATTTCAAAGACTTTGTACACTGCATTTGCTGTATGACACTCTGAAACAAAGATCCTCAAAAAACAACAAAAAGGAGGAACAGCAATAAATAAATAGAACGAAGAAACCAGAAAGAGGAATAAAGGTTACTTCTTGTTTGCTATGACTTAAATGCCGAATGTTTCGCCTTGATTCTTAGGATGCATTTTTAATACACATGCCAATCAACTTAATGATTAGGGAAGGCAAAAGAAGCAAACCCAGAGTTTCAATTCCTAAGACAGAAAAAGCAATCAGGAACCCTGAATGGTCACCACCAGAGATCCCCAAATGAACTAGCACATAGAAGAACCAAAGCCCAACATCAAGATGCTTTAATAGGCTGGCATCCCATGATTGGAAGCAATATCAGTGTTCAGAGAGAAATAAAACCCAGAAGCAACAAGAGAGCCCTTATTCTTTGACTTCAGTGTGGAAAGAAGCAAACACTGCTCCAGAGAGCGGTGAGAGTCCCCCAAGGCTTCTTCAGCTCCTGTTTAGGAATCCCCAAATGCAAAGTATTCAGTGAGATTGTGGGTTCAAGAATAATTTTCATTATGTGGATATATTTCAACAGGCCTTCACCAAGGTCTCAAAATAAACTGGGGCACTGGAGGAAGAGATGGGATCATATAGTTAATTCCTCATCAGCTGAGTGCAAAAAGGGCTGATGCAATCCCTGAGAAAGTTGGGTGAGGAAGTACAGGAAGTGTATAGGAAGTCAGGAAAGTGCTGATATCGCTGTAAATGGCACAGATTAAATGTCACTAAAAAAAAACAGGGGCTAGTGAATTATATTGAAGAAAGCTGCAGGAAAAGGTCTTGGCTGAGAAAAGAATGAAAATATATCCAAGGTAACAAAGGTAACAGAGCTTGATTTATATGGTCTAAGAAGGGGAAGATTTCTCTAAACATTTCCCAAATGTTTACCTGGGAAAGGGGAAGAATACATATCAAGGGATGATAGCTACTATTTTGAGAGCAGAACTCTTTAAATGAGAGTAAGGAAACAATCAGGTACAAATAAATTTAGCCTGGATATTAGAAGACCATTTCTAGCTATCCTAGGAGTGAGATCTTGGAGTAGATGAGACAGCAGGTAATGACCCCAGGTCATCTGGAAACAGGAATCACCAAGCCAAAGCTGGAAGGTATTCCCAGGGGCTCTATAATGAAGTAGGAATATTCTCAAACAAAAGGAATTGTTTGCAATATGAGTCCCTGGGGACTGTGTCAGTAGAGCTGAGCAAAGCTGCTCCTTAGGGCTACCATGAGAGAGCCACGAAGGAAATTGCTTTGTTACTTGTTCTGTAATTTGGCCTCTGGGTTTTCCCCTCCTTTGAAATTAAATTGACTAAACATGGAAGGGAAGTGCTGTATGCTACTGATTTGCCTGATTGGTATGTCCTGCTAACACACTCAGAGCTGAACTGTTGCCAGATTTGGGATCAGAAGGAAATTCTTCCCCACCACCCATCCAGCAAGCACTGTGGGACGGAGCAAGGAGCTGCCCTCCCATGCAGTGCAAAGGAGGTGATACCTGGGGGCTCTATGACAAAGCTCCACACCACGCCAGCACCGTGTCACACCTGTCACACCCACTCTCCCACTCTCCAGTTGTTTTTCACACTCACAAGAACACACTATAGAGATTAGTGGATCTTTCAGAGCTTTCCACAGGCACAGGGAAGGGTAACACAGGTGTTACTTTGACAGTCCACAGGTGCTGCCCAGCCCACAGCCTGTCCCAGCAGGGTCCTTGCCCACAGCCAAACTCACACACTGGTAGAACTCGCGGTAGCGGCCCCTGGTCATGGCCGGGTTGTCCCTCCTGTACACCTTGGCAATGTGGTAGCGCTTGATGTTGGTGATCTTGTTCATGGCCAGATAGCGAGCAAAGGGCACCTGAGACAGAGTTAAGGATGGCAACAAGGAGGGATCATCCCCCCCAGGTATCAGTCACAGGCAGTGCTGGGTCCTCACTGTCTCCCACCAGTGCCCTGGGGGCAAAGGAACTGCTGAGAGACAGCTGGACTCATCACAGCTCCCCAAGGTCTCCACACGCTGCCTCCAAGTGTCCCTTCAGGCTTCTTCCAGCACCACCTTAGGCTGGATCTCATTGTCACATGGGCTGTGCACTGCAGCAGTCTGCTCTGGGAACCCTGCTTGGGAGAAACCACACTCTGTATCGATCTTCTGTACTTCCACACACATGGGGCAGGAAGCTGTGTCAGGGGAGGGTCAGGCTGGATGTTAGGAAAAGGTTCTTCCCACAGAGGGTTGTTGGGCATGGGCACAGGCTCCCCAAGGAAGTGGTCATGGCACCAGACCTCAAAGAGCATTTGGAAAATGCTCTCAGGCACTTGGAGTGTCCTGTGCAGGGTCAGAAGCTGGACTTAATGATCCTTGGGGTCACTTCCAACTCAGGATATTCCATGATTCTTCACCAAACAGAAGCAATGCACAGTAAATAACTGAGCAAGGGTTCTGCACCCACTGAACCACACTGCCTGCTCATGCTCTCACGGTCAGTTTGGGGTCCCTCCTCCCCCTCAGGACAGTAACTCCTCCCAAAAGGAGGACTGCAAAGGCCCCCCAGCACCAGCTGTGGCAGGATACTGTCAGGTCATAGCGTAGGGAAAGCAGCTCTCCTCCCTGATCCTTCAGATCATAGATGAGCTTCGAGTCTTCACCGTATTTCCCTGTCAGTGTCTCCTACAACAAAACAACACACGAACAAACAGCATCTTCAGTGACAGGGGATCATCCCTAGAGCACACAGAAAACAAGGAGAGAAAGGGAGAATGCCTAGGAAGAGAAGAAGGAAACTCAACCCTCAACACTTTGAGCTGCAGGATCCTCAGCAGCTGAGCCAACCTGCTGTGTCCTCACCCACCTTCAGCTCGAACACCGGCGTGTCGATGACTTCGGCCCCGTGGCGCTTGAAGCACGAGATGATGGCTTTGAAGGCCCTCTCACGGATGGCCATTTCCTTGGGGCCGAAATCCCGCGTGCCCTGGATGAGGGAAGAAAAAGAGCAAAGGACACTTTGGGTTAGAGGCATGACATGAGAAAGACGCCAGAGGCAATATGAAGAAGGTGCCATATTCCTAACAAAGCCAGAGAGACAGGTCCAGACACAAGATATTGGAAAACAGCACTAAAAACGTTGGAAAACATCAGGACACAGCTCAGACAGTCTGCCAGAGCAAAACCTAAGTCAGGAGCTTCACAGTACAGGAAACAAGGAGATAAAACAGATCCAGCAGTCAGAGCTCAGTGCTTTTGAGCCTGACAGTGCAACCAGGACCTGTCCTCAGCTCTGATGCAGAACTATTAGCCAGATCCCTGCCCAGTGAGCCACCCCAAAGGTGGAAACAGAGGACAGACATGCTCTGAAACTGTGCAACAACCATCAGCTCTGCAATTTCCAAACACAGAGAAAAATCATCTTTCAAAATGCAATGCTTGTGAAATGTCTGTCTACAATTCACAGGGCCATGCACCCTTTGCATTTCTTTGGTGTCAACTGAATTATTTCAATTACCACCTTTATGCTCTCAGTAACATAAAAATCATTGTTATTAGCTAGACCTCTAACTTCCACTTTATAAAATCAGTTAGACATGAGGAAGCACTCCCACCCACAGATCACTCAGATGGCCTTCAGCTGCCATTGAGAAGCCTGAGATGGGCTGGAAACTCAACTGAGTTTCTCTGGCACTCAACAGGGCTGCGAACTCCCCTTCTCCACACTTTTAAACAGTGAAATACCCTTCCACTTTTCAGGCATTACACCACAATTACATTCAACAAAACTTATCATAAAGGAAATTAACAAAGAGACAGTTTTGAGACTTTTAAATATTGGGAATAAATTCTTCCCTGTCAAGTTGCCCAGAGAAGCTGGGAAGCCCCATCCCTGGCAGCATCCCAGACCAGGCTGGATGGGGCTTGGAGCAGCCTGGGATAGTGGAAGGTGTCTCAGCCCATGGCAGGGGGTGAAATGAGATGAGCTTTAAGGTCTTTCCAACCCAAACCACTCCATGTGTCTATATTTTTTTATGTCAGTGGCATCACCACAGCCTGGTTTGTTTATGAACAGATTCCTAACTGTCTTCACACCACAGCATGGAAGCAGGTGGTCTCCTATCAACTGCCAGTGATGAAATATTCAGGTTACAAAGTATTTCAGCAGAAATTGCATTATGGACACTATTCTTAGGGGCCTGGAGGCTGAAAAACTGCTTGTAAAGGCAGGATCCTTCCACAAGAGGACACAGAAATTCCAGCAGCTGGCCAGACCTGTTCAGTAAATGAGCCCCTCAGACTAAGGGCAGGTATGAACCCTATCACACTGGGCAGCTACAATAAAGCTTGATTAGAAGGGAAATTCCTGACCACACCAGCAGTGGTTGGAATGTCACAGAAGCACCCAGAAGCCTCTAAGGCAGTGAGTATCTGAGCTGAATGCTGTCGGGAAATGTCTTCATCCCTCCCCCCGCTTGCTGCTAAAAATGAAAGTGGAAACAGAAATTTGAACAAAGGCAGGTGTGGCCATGCTGGACTTTGGCTCACAGATATGTAGGGGCTGCTGGCTGTGTGTCTGGGGGGAGGGGGGAAACATGCATACAGAGGGCACAGGAGACAGGAGTTACCTTCGGGGTCTTCAGCACAAACTTTTGTTTCCCCTCATCTGTCCCCAGCTGTGCCTTCATCTCGAGCAGCTTTGCCACTTCCTTTGCAATCTGGGGATGGAGCAAGGAGGGAGCTGGGGATAAGACCACCCAGCAGGCCCAGCCCACTGCCTTCCCCAGTACCTTCAACCACAGTATTCCCAGTGCACCTGGACTCCACAACCTCAATACACCCACTATTCCCAGTTTCTCAGCAACCAGAGGGAAGTTCTCTGCTGCTCTCCAGCCCTTCCCACTTTTCATCAAGCACCCCTATCTCAACAACGCAAACACCCCCACCATTCCCCGGCTCCCACGACCTCCATTACCATCCACAGCTATCTCCCCATTCCTATCCCCACCACCAGCAGCTGTTACACGCCCCAGCGGTTTCCAGCAGTTCCTCCCAAACATCCTCCCCCCTTCAGTCTAACACTGCTATCACCGGCTCCCACCAGGAGTCTCCCCTGCACCCTCAGCCCTTCCACTTCCCAGCCCTGCACTCCCATACTCCCATCCTTTCCAACCCCTCTTTTCCCAAAGCCGCCAGCCCCAGCCCAGTAACCTGTACACCAGTACTTTACACCAGTAACCCCAGTTCTCACCCACCGCCCGGCCCAGCCCAGCCCCGGTGCCCCCCGCTCCCCCAAGCCCCTCTTGCCCATCCCAACACAGCCGGCGCCCCAGTTCTCATTCCCCGCCGCTCCCAGCCATACTGCTGCCCCCCCCAGCACCCCACTCCCGTGAACACCGGAGCCCCAGCACCTCATTCCCGGGACCCCCGGAGCCCCCGCACCTCGTCAGCATCGGCCTTGTCCTGTTTGAGCCTCCGCACGGTCTCCGCCTGAGCCCGCACCGCCGCCTCCTCCGCCATGGCGAGGCCGCGCCTGCGCACCGCCCGCGCCCCGCCGCGCACGCGCAGCGCCGCCGCCGCGGGGAAGTGAAAGGCGGAGGGCGCGGCCTGGGTTTGTTATTGCGGCTTTTGTTTAATATATAAAAATACAGCGTTTCCGCGCGCGCCCCGGCGGCTCGCTGTGTCCCTCGGCGAGGGGACACGTCCGTGCTCCAGGGCGCTCCCGCGGCTCCGCCCCCGCCCGCGGGGCGGGACCGGCCCCGCAGCCCCAGGAGGGGCGGGGGTGCCCTCCCGCTGCCCCTCGCCCTGAGCCGGCAGATCCCCGACACACCACGATTCCCACTCCCAAGTGTGGAGCTCCACCTGATCCTGCTTGAGCCTCACCACATCCATCTGTGCCACCACCACCTACAGTGACGGAAACGGCTGTACGTACAGGGACTGCAGGATTAGGAAACCATGAACTTGGCCTTCAGAGAAGCTAACCAGAAGGTTAACCTGGTGACTGTACCGTCCATAGCTTTAAAAACTGTCTTACTCCTCAGTTCTCACTGCCTGAGTGGAGGCAATGAGCCTTAGGCCAGTGGATGTCACCAGACTGCAGCTGGCAGTGAGGAGCTGAGGGTGCTGGAGGGTCCAGTTGTGCAGCAGTTCTGCCAAGCAGCTCCAGCCAGAGGAGTCCTCAGGGCTCCAGCCTCCTCCTGATCTCATCAATAAGCTTTTCTCTGGGGATATCAACCTACAAAGCAAACAGCAGCAGTAGAGAAGAGCACTTTTAAGAACTAAGTGAGGATATCAATGCAGTTTGTGACTGGTTTTCTGGAGTCACCCAATAGATCTGAGCTATGGCCTCCCAAAGAATGCTGAGAGAAAACCCAGAACTCTTCAGTGATCTCCAGAGTCTGGAAGTACTTTAAAACCTGGTGTAAAAGGGCATTCTCACCTCCTTTCTTGTTGCAACATCTCGCAGCTTGACAACTCCGTCTGCCAGCTCCTGCTCTCCCACAATGGCAGCAAGGGGGATCCCTGTGTCTTCACAATACTGCAGCTGCTTCAGCAATTTAGGATCCTTCTTGTACAGCATCTCTGCCTAGGAGGGAACGGGAAGGGTGAATCACTAACCCAACTTCGCTCTGATGGATACTGCACTAAAGCACCAAAACCAAACCCTGCAGCAATCACTTTACTGCACTGGGCTCTTCTTCTCTGCCTGCCTAAATCTAAAGGTTGGACTTGACGATCTTGGAGGTCTTTTTCAACCTGAATGACACTGTGATTTCAGACAGGCCCAGGTCTTGGACAGACACACAACTAATGGAGTTGGTCTTGCCGTGCTACAGCTCCCTTCAGGCTCTCCCTCCCTCACCTGTGACACTGCCAAGCCCAAGTCACTCCTTTACCTTGATCCCTGCATCCCACAGCTCGGAGATTAGCTTCATTCTAGCAGCAAGCAGGTGTTTCTGAGGTGTAGCCACCAGCACTTGGGTCTCAGTTGTTCGAAGTTTCTCCCCAGACGCCTGAAGGGACACACATGGGACATTCATGGGAATCTGCAGCTCACAACACCTCAACTCCTCTATCTCCAGATCTTAACTCAGTCAGTGACAACCCAGGCACCTTTAATGAGCCCCCCAGGGATTCTGAACTGTGTGCTGCTGTTCCTCAGGGACTCTGGCCAACCTCCTGGACAGCTTTCCAATGTGTCCTTTGATTCTTCAGGTACAAACACATTGCCTCAGCTTCACTTGCAAGGAATCACAGGCTTGGAACCAAGCACAGAATGATGAATCTCCACAGAGGCTTTCCTGGTGCTTATTAGAGTGAGCTCAGAGCTATTACCAAATTCATTCCTTCAGAATCCCCACGACAGAAGACATAAGAGGAAAGACATAAGAATAAAGTGACTGAGGCACAAAGCTCAAAGCCAGGCCCAGAGCTCAAGGCTGTTTCTAACATTTCCTTGACATCTCCTAGGATGCAGCTGCCCACACCTCCATCCTAACAGGCTGCATAAAAGGACTCTGTCTTCTGTGCATCAATATTCAGGCATGGGAAGAGCCACTCTCTGCCCCAAACGTATATTCCCTTGAGCACTGTGGAGCTGGAGACCTCTAATAAACAATATTTTGCTTCCTAGGGCCTTCCCCAATGCACTGCCTGCATCACCTACCTCCAGTCTCTGTTCCAGGATGGAGAAGATGCGCTCGATGCCAATGCTGACCCCCACACAGGGCACCTTCCGGCCCTTGGGATCAAACATCCCCACCAGCCCGTCGTA